TCATTGTGGAGCCAAGGGTGCTGCCGCTGTTACGGCGGCAGCGGAGGAGGAGAGCTTGAGCGGATGGGGTTACGGGTGGGTTCTGCGGGTTGGAAGATGGGGGGTGGGTTGCAGGTTGGGTTTGGATTTGGGTTTTGAGGGGGTGGACTAAGGAGGAGGGGGAATGGGTTGCAGAGGAGAGAGGGAGAGACAGAGAGGAAAAGCTGAGAGAGAGGAATTTGGATTTGGATTTTTTATTTTTAAGTTTATTTATTTATTTTATTATTATTATTATTTTTCAGTTTTTTTAGTTTTTCTTTTTAGTTTTACAAACTGTATATTATTTATTATTATTATTTATTTAACCCGAAAGGACGCTTTTACCCCTCATTTTAACGGATAAATTGACAGAATTGGACGGTAGGACCCAATTGCAACTAATTGTCTAATTAAAGTATGTCTTTGCCACAAAAATTAGTTCGCATACCCAATTGCAACTGGGGCCATAGTTCACGGATGTCTACAGTAATTAACCATTTTTTAAATTATTTTTTTCCAATTATGCCCCTTATAATTTAAATCAAGTATGATTTATATTATTATAGCTAATTAATGTAGTTATTGACACTGATTGCAATACATAAATCGAGTAAGTATGATTTATATCATAATAATTAGCTAATTAATACAATTATTGCCTCTAATTGCAATTCATAAACGAGTAAGAAATTAATTTTATGCCATAATTACTATACTTGACCTTTAAAATAATTATGATTTGAATTTATAAAATATTTATTTTCTGGTTTGAAGAAAGAGAGCAAGGGATAAATTCAAATCTATTGAGGCTTCAAGAGTCGAAGGGAACTCCTTTTATTTATTTATTGATTTTTGCTTATGTTTTCTTTCTAATTTGCTTTTGTTTTTAGTAGGGGTGGGCACGGTTCGGTTTGGATCGGTTTTTGTCTCAAATTAGAACCGATCCGGTACTATTTATACGGTTTGGTTTAGTTTGGTTTTAATAAAAAAAATTTAAAAACTGTTCGGTTTGGGTTAAATCGGTTTTGGTCCGGTTCGGGTTTGAACCGGATTATAAAATTTATTTTTTAATAAAATTTTCAATTTTATTTATTTACTTGAAAATTAACAAATTATTCAATTTCATATAAAAATAAATATTAAAGCTAGAAAAGAGAGATTTTTTAAAATTGAACTTGAATAAATATTAGTTGTGAGATTAAACATATAGCATTGAATATAAATAAATATTGAAATTATATATTTTTTAATTTGACCGGTTCGGTTCAGCATGGTTTAATTTTTGAAGACATAGAATCGAAATCAAAATCGGTCCAAATCGGTCCGGTTTGGTTTTTGACCGGTTGTTGACTTTTTGGTCATCTCGGTTTTTTTCCGGTTTGGTTTGATTTGGTGCGGTTCGGCTCGAATTTCCGATTCGCTGGTTTGAATGCCCACCCTTAGTTTTCAAATTGAAGGACGTCCTCATTTAAATGGTAAGAAAAGCATCAGACATCATCCTTAAAAAATGAAAGCGTGTTGGGATCTCATCCCTTGTTCCCATGACCCATGTTTTCTAGCTTTCCAATTTGAGCTACACACCCATGTTTTTTGACTTTCCACGTCAACCCACTTAATTATAAATTTTTTTTTAAAAAAAAAGGAAAAGAAAGAAAAAACAAAAATATAACAATATCAATTTATAAAAAAAAATTGAAATGGCCTGGACAAATTGTTGGGGGTTTGCAGAAGATCGCCACTATTATGTGATCTGCCAGATGGAGAATATAAGGCTTCTCATCATGCTCTTCTTGTTTTGCAGGTCTATCAGATTCAATGGTCTTTGGGGAGTGGCTGGGGAGCAGTCTGGTTCCCTTCATGCTTGCAGCTTTGGAGGAAACATAAAAGAAGAAGAAAACAAAAAACCGAGTCTCAAGGTTAAACTTTATTGTGCAGACCTGGTCGAGGTTCTCTCAAAAAAACTTTATTTTGCAGACCTAAGATTCTTAAGTATACCTATGTTTGTATGAGATAAGTTATTATAGAAAATTAGATACAGATCCAAATTTCTCTTCAACATAATTTGTTCTTCTTAATTATTTTTTTTCTTTCCAATTATGGTCCTTATGATTTAAATTGGGTGGTTTATATAATAATAATTAGCTAATTAATACAATTATTGACTGATCTGATTAAATTTATAAACGGGCAAGAAATTAATTTTAGGCCATAATTATTTGACCATTTAAGTAATTATGATTTGAATTTATAAAATATTTGTATTTATTCTAATCAATAAATGATCCTTTTTTAATAATCAATAATGCTATTCTTATTTGTGACCAAATTAGTACACGGTCATGAATAACATATTGGGTCGTGGAGACCAAAGAAAACCTCTAGAATCGCAAATGAGCACTGGGTGCAGAGTGGGGAACACATCCGGACTAAGCAACTTGGCTAAGCCCATGTCTGTGCATTTGTTTAAATTTGAAGGGTAGCTATTTTTGTTACTCTTTTGTAGTATTTTGCACTCCAAATTGAATATTTCTTTATTTCAAGGTCAATTATTTAAGAAAAAAAAATCAGCGGCTATAAGCTGACGAAGAAGAAACTCACAATTAAAGTTAAAGCTGTTAAAAATTCAACATTCAAGTGAATAAGGAATTTTTACAGAAATCTGAAACATTAGTATTACTTGAATCTATAAGAGTGCAACAATGGGTACATACAAATGCAGATAAAACACTCTCATCTTTGCGTTCTTTTGTAACTTTTTTTTGCCTTTAAATAGCAATATACTTCTTAATCTTGAGCAGCTTCTCAGTCCACTCTCTTTCTTTCTCATGGCTTGAGACTAGTTGCCTGAAAAGTTTGCTTTTGGGATGACTTTTCTTCTACATAATTTGCAAATGTGACCTTTGGTCCATGCACGCACTGTAAGAAATGAATTTAGCTAAGACTTGATGCTTAAAAACCTAATTTGGGTATAAACACACAACAGAAGAACTTCATACATGCTAGAAATACTTTCTTACAGAGTATTTTGGACACTTACTGTGATTCTGCAGTGAATGTTGAGATCATAATTCATTTCATCAAGACGGTTTCTTGCATTCTCTTCTGCTTCAGATGCTTTCCTGCAAGCTTCTTTCACCTGAAATCAATAGAAAAGAATTCTAGAATTCCCTAGTCGAAGAGCAAAATCAAAGCAGAATACTTTTGAATAATCATGGAGAAAAGGTAACTGAAAATAATAAATTGTTCAATAGCAAAAGTGCTATGTCTAGAAAGAAAGATCTCTTGATTCTTGAAAAGATCCTTTCTTTGGTTTCGGAAAAGAAAAGCAATGAATGCCTGCCAGAAAAATAACATCCAGAAGGCCTAAGAATTTTGGTTTTCCGAATGAAAAGTTCGAACCAGATGGTAACATTTTGAGCAGATGTAGATTAGAAGTTGTTTAATTAAGGAACACCTAAAAACAAGAGCCCAAGATTCAGGGGATTGAATTGGGCATGTAAACGATGCAAAATCTAATTTAAACTGGTGTAAATGCTCTTCAAGCTTCTTGATTAGAAAAGTATTCTTCCATTTGCTTAGCATACATCCGAATGCTAGTTTTCAAAAGAATTCTAGAATTCCCTAGTCGAAGAACAAAATCAAAGCAGAATACTTTTGAATAATCATGGAGAAAAGGTAACTGAAAATAATAAATTGTTCAATAGCAAAAGTGCTATGTCTAGAAAGAAAGATCTCTTGATTCTTGAAAAGATCCTTTCTTTGGTTTCGGAAAAGAAAAGCAATGAATGCCTGCCAGAAAAATAACATCCAGAAGGCCTAAGAATTTTGGTTTTCCGAATGAAAAGTTCGAACCAGATGGTAACATTTTGAGCAGATGTAGATTAGAAGTTGTTTAATTAAGGAACACCTAAAAACAAGAGCCCAAGATTCAGGGGATTGAATTGGGCATGTAAACGATGCAAAATCTAATTTAAACTGGTGTAAATGCTCTTCAAGCTTCTTGATTAGAAAAGTATTCTTCCATTTGCTTAGCATACATCCGAATGCTAGTTTTTTTAATATGACCCAAAAAAAACTGGCAGAATACAATAGTAATGTCACATGAATTGGGAAAATTAGTAGAGCATATCCCGTTTGTTAAGAGTACTATTATACTTTTGGTCGACTTCGGTGTACTACTGTATTGAATTTGAACTTTTTTGAAAACCTGCACTTCTATACTAACATGTTATGCATGAGACTTTTCTATTGTATACAGGCTAGAGGCCGGCTTTCAGCAAATATACTCAAGCTGTGTGGTCTGCCCTGGTAATCTCACATTCCTCATAAAAACTATGTGATGGAAGGCAACCGGAAACTGCAAGTCTAAAACATCAAATATAGTTTTGATTTCTATTGTGAATCAACAGTTATTCTAGTGAATAAGCATTGTGAATATCACTGAAGCATATCCAATTCAGGCGATCAAATGCTGTATTAACCAAGCATACAAATAAATATGGACTGGGACTTGAAACCATATATTTTGATTAGTGTAGAAAAGACTTAGCACAGCAAGAGCCAGAATATTAAAAATTTGTAATTGCATCTTTCGTTCAAGCTCAAGTGAAACTGACCTCATTTAAATCCACGACGTGAGTATTTGCACCAACAGCTGACATTTCAAACATCTTACGTAAACTTGATAGTTCCTTCATCAAATCTAAAGCTACTTCTTCAGCATCTTGCATCTGATTTCTGGAGAACTCAAATGCTCTCTCTGCATGGAGTCGAAACGAAGTGCAATTCAAACAAGTGCAGAGCCCTCTGCATCCTCGTGGATTTCTTTTAAGGATCTGTTTTCTGAGTCCATCTGAATGAATACCAGAAGAAACTGTTGCATCAATTTGGGATGAGTTCTGACACAAACTGTCGGCTTGAACTGGCAATGGCTTTCCCCCACTGGACAATGCTATTCTTGAGCCTATGTGGTCCTCTTCAGGACAATCAGATGATGAATTTGTGACTGATATTGCACCATCTTTTATCGAAGTAGCTTCACAAGTGCTTGGGAAGAACAAAGTGATTGGATCTTTTTCATGTCCCAAACTCACAATGTCAGGGGAAGTTTCTAATTTACTTTGATTACCTGATGCAGCCTGTTGAACATGTTGTTCCTTTTGTACATCAAATGACATTTGAGATTCAGCCACGTGTTCAGGAGATGTTAGATTATCTCCACCGTAATTGGATGAGCCATTAGCACTGGTTAATTGAGGTGTTGGTAGAGTACCAGGATCACAAATCTGATGCTCGGAATGAAATCTGAAATCATTTGATTGATCCATTAGAGTTTCTTGCTGATTAGGAGTCAATGGTGGCTGTAGCCTATGCTCCAAATCCTTATTAGTATTTGCACCTATGAAAATTGATGATAAGAAAGGTTAGTTTAAATCCACTAAAGGCCCCAGGTTAACAGAACTATAATGCTGTATGATTATAAAGATAGTTCAAATATAGTAGAACTTACAAGAATTATTTTTTTCGATATCCAAAAGATATGGAAGCAATCTTCTGTAGCTGACTGAACCTGGACTTCTAAATAACTTCAGGCGTGAACAAGGATTCAAAACCTGTTTTTAGAACAAACACAACTTACATTAGTAGAAGGATAAATGAAAATTTAAAAAGATCATTAATCAACCAGCTTCTTCCTAGTACCAGAATGCCTAAAGATTTAAAGATATGTTAACCGGAAGTTATGATTTTCTAAATGAAATGGTATTCTACAGATAGCCAGACTGAGAACTTGGAAGGTCTGATAAATTCTTACCCGCTTTCTCTTCGGAGTAGATTCCTGTTTTTTAACATCAACGCAGGTAGCATCTGTATGATTAAATACATTGGATGGCTTCCCAAGACTTAGATTTGCAGTCTGAAGAACATATCCCGCTCTACTAATTCTTTTCACTTCCACCTCTAGTTTACCTAACATTTCAGCATCTGGTGGTGTCCTCTGGACTGATTCTTCATTTGAGTCATCTATCTGATTGAGAACCAGACCAGCATTGTAAACTCTCTGCTCGTTTATATGATTTTGATTTGAGTTCTCACAGTTCTGACCTATGACATTAACCTTGCATGAGTAGCACTCATCCATCATAGATGACGACAAGGAATTCATATCTTCCACATTTTGAGCTTCGCCATTACCAGCTTTATCAGAAGTCCCCACATCTTCAGCTGGTGTATAAAAATCAATATGCGTGTCAATTACATGATCCTTGTTAACTTGAGAATCCTCCATAGCCGAAGAGGAAAGGGGTGAGGCATTTAACTTCTGAGCTTTACAAGAAAATCCCACATCAAACTTTTCAGTCTGTCCATCGACAGGTGGCTTTGACAGACACTCATCCACCACAGTTATAGATGGTGACGCAGGAACACATTCAGGAGATTCTGAACTTCTCTCATTGCCATTAGATGTTTCCTGGAAACAAACTTGTACATTTTCTAGCAGAGTAGAAGAACCACTGGTATGATACTCCCTGGAAAGTTTGTGGGCATCAAATTGATGTAAGGAACCCGGTGGATTTTTCGAAGCCCGCATACCCTGGAATGGTTTTCCTTCTGATCCTTTATAAAGATTTGGGTGTTGACAAAAATCAAGCGCACCTGTGGACAAAGAGTACTACAACTTTTAGTTTCCTGAGTACACTTCTCATCTTGGCATTTGATAATCTTGACAACAGAAAAAGGTAAGAGAGTAAAGCAGTTACAAGAAATATCTTCGGCAATATCCTTAAGATACGGAAGCAATCTTCGATAACCGAATGATCCAGGAGCTTTGAACACTCTCTGTCGAGGCTTAAGGACCTGCTATTAGCACAAATAATACGACAATAAGGCACACACCAATTTGCTCAATTGTCTTGTATGACCCATAAATGTTTCAATCCTATCTCAAGTTTATAATCAAATGGTACAATTAAAACCAAAGTCCAGCAAAATTTCCATACCAGTAAAAAGAAACATTAGTACTTCAATAAAAGCCAATTGAAGTGATAATTATACATACCAATTTGGTTTTATTTTCAAAATTGAGACGAACACCATTTTCCTTCACATCAGCCGATGATTTCTGAGAACAATCCTGATTCGCATCACCACTCCTCTGCTCCACATCGGATGATATGCCTCCAATCCCTTCTCTCACCGGAGATTTAAGACTCAAATGATCTGTTCTTCGGGCTTTAGACACAAAACCCATATCCAATCTCTCAGTCCCTTTGCTCTCCGAATCATCTACATCTGGACCTGAGCGAGAAAACCCATTTCCAGAACTCTCAACCCCACCATTCTTCACCGACTTGGGGCCATTTTCTTGTTCATACGAACCGAATTCGGCGCCAAATTTGTGGTGGTCAGTCAGATTCTCAGGGGGCTTAGAGGTTGCGGAAAAGACCCTTTTGACGCGGAGATCCTTAATCAGAGAGTGGAGGGGCATGTTGCCATCCAGAGAGCCTTGTCTTATCGGCTCTACTGATCTGGGCCTTTTCGGGTTCGATTGGTGGCTCAGAAGCTCGGGATGGCCGTTACTATTTCTGACCAGACCGGAGCGATTGTTGTGATAGATCTGAGATTTGCTGCTGGTGCTGATGTCCATTGAAGGTGAAGGTCGCTTCCATTTCATGGAAGTGTGTTTTGCTTCCATGGCCGCTTCAGACTAAGATGGAGAGAGAGAGAGAGAGAGAGAGAGAGAGAAAGAGAGAAGAGGGTTTGGAGAAAGCCAGAAGCGGAAAGAGGGATATTTCGCGGGAAAAAAATGTGTGAGAGGGGTAGTTGATGGCGGGAAAGTAAGGCGTTGGGTTAATTTGGCGGTATTTTTATTCTGGTCAAAGTTATTTTTTGGCCGTGTAGGCAAAGAAATTGGTTTCATTATTGGGAAATACCTTAAAATACCATCAAGGCCAAACTTACTTCTCCAAATTAGGCCTCATCATTTGGCCCGCGGGCTCATGGGCTTTGAGAGGGCCCGGCCCGCTTGAGCTTGGGTGTTTGAAGCCCGGCTTGGTACATAAGCCCGGCCCGATTAAGCTCATGAAAGCACAGCCCGACCCGCTCACAAAAGCCGGCCCGTTAGGCCCGCATACATATATAATTTTGTATAAATAAGGGTTTAGGATTATGATTACATCACTTGAATGACAAATCCCCCTCTTTCATTTTTTTGTATGTGTGTTATTTGTTTGAAAAATTGTGTTTCTATTGAATTCTACTCATTCTTAGTTTTTAATTGGATGATTAGCACATTAATTTGTGTCATTTATTAATACAACAATTATATATATATATATATATATA